TGGATCAAAGTTTATTTTTGCATAGGGATATCCATATTCCAGCTCCATTTGTTCAAAAGATGATCTTTTCTGCATTCAGTTGTTTTTGTAATTTGCCAGGAATCAGTATTCCATCTATGTGTAGCTCTGTTTCTGGACCATCTCTTTTTGCCTATTGATCTATTTCTCTTCATGCCATGTTGAAACTGTCTTCATTACTATAGCTTTGTAATGAGTCTCAGTCAGCAATAGCTGTCTAACTTTGTTATTTTATTTCTAAAGGTTATTTTGACTATTCTCGGATCTTTGCATTTCCATGTGAATTGTAGGGTCAGCTGTTACATTTATGCAAAAAGCCTTTTGAAATTTTGATTGGGATTTTGTGTTAAATAGCTCAATTTAAGAATAATTGACATCTTAATATTTAATCTTCTGACCCATAAATATTTTATTGATTTTTAGTGGGAGAGGGAGGGAGGGAGGGAGAAAGAAAGGGAAAAAAGGAGGGATAGAGGAATTGGGGAGGAAAAGATAGAGGAGGAGGAGGAGGGAAGGAGGAGAAGGAGGAAGAGGAGGAGGAGGAAGAGGAGAGAGAAAGAGAAATAGATGTGAAAATGAAACATTCATAGGTTGCCTCTTGTACAACCCCCACTGGGGTTTGAGCCCAAAACTCAGGCATGTGTCCTAGCCAGGAATTGAACCAACAACCTTTTGGTGCATGGGCCAATGCCTAACCAATGGAGCCACATCTTTCAGGGCCTGACCCATAACTATTGTCTCCCCGTTTATTTATATCTTTAATTTATCTCGAGTATTTTGTAGCTTTCAATGTATAGGTCTTGTCATTCTTTGTCAGATTTATCCTTAGGCATTCTGTGTGTGTGTGTGTGTGTGTGTGTGTGTGTGTGTTTTATGGTAGTCTAGGTGAAAAGTGAAATTTCAAAAATACTGATTGTTGCTACTATTATATAGAAACTTTTATACATTGATCTGGTATCCTACAATCTTGCTAGAAAATTCCCTTATTAGTTCTAGTGTCTTTTATGTAGATTCCCCAGAGTGCGCGCGTGTGTGTGTGTGTGTGTGTGTGTGTGTGTGTATATATATATATATATATGTATATATATATATATATGTATATATATATATATATATATTTTTTTTTTTTCATGTCATCTGTGAATAGACAGTTTTACTTCTTTCTTTCCAGAGTAGCTGTTTTTATTTGTCTGATTGCACTAGCTAGAACCTCCAGCCCTCGTCTTGCTCTAAAATTAGGGGAAAAGCATTCATGGTACTTCATTACAGATGCTGTATTTGTACACGTGTTTAATGCGATCAAGGATGTTTCCTTTATTCCTAACTTGCTGAGGGCTTTTATCAGGAATGGATGCATTATGCTTTAGTCTTTGAGATCATTATATGGTTTCTCTATTTAAGTGCATATGATAAGTTACATTTATGTTTGATGGGGAAGCCAACCTTTCATTCCTGGGATAAACCCTACTTGGTAATAATGAAGTATGCCTTTTATATATGGTTGAACTCAATTTGCTAAACTATTTAGAATTTTTGCTTCTCTGGTTTCAGTATCAGTAACACTGACGTCATAGGATATGTTAGGATGTGTTTCTTTCTTTTTTTTTTTTTTGTAGAGTTTGTGAAGAATTGATATTCTTATGTATTTGATAGAATTCAATGGTGAAAACTTCTGGGTCGTGACTTTTCTTTGTGGGTAGGTTTTTGTAATTTTCCATCCTTTTAGCCCGCATGTTTATGTTTAAAGTGTAAATATTGTAGGCAGCATATAATTGGGTCTTTTGTGACCCATTTGAAAATGAGGAGAATATTACCCATATACCAGTCAGAATATTTCCCCTTAGTTTTTATTGGTTAGGATGGTGTCTAAGGCTTGTGCCTAAACCAGTCACTGGGCAAACAGGAATAATGAGGTTACTGTGATTGGCTTAGCCCAGTGCACCCATCCTCAGTGTGTCTCCAGACAGCAGTATCAGGATCTCCTGGGAAGTGGTTAGACATTTCAAGTTCTTAAACCCCATCCCAAAACCTACTGAATCTGGTAGGTTAGACTTGCCTGCAATCAGGTGTTAGTAATGTTTATTTCAACAAGCCCTCTAAGAGATTTCAATGCACCAAAGATTGAGAACAACTGGCCTAGACCAGTGGTCGCAAACTTATTAGTTAACAGAGCCAAATATCAACAGTACAACGTTTGAAATTTCGTGAGCCAGATATTTTAAACTTAAACAACTTCTAATGCCACTTCTTCACAATAGACTCATCCAAGCCGCATGTGGCTCGCGAGCTGCAGTTTGCTGACCACGGGCCTAGACTAACCTTTTCTTGGGGATTTAGAGAGCTACCTAGTACTGGACAGCTCAGGAGTCCTTTAGCAGGGGAGGGTGAATAGGATGGAGTTACATAAGTAGGCGATGGTCTTGTCCCAGTAGACGGAGGTGGGGCCCAGGAATAGAAATTTTTAACTTATCAATATACTCTTGATGAAGGCAGGTTGTCCACATTCTCAGGGAATAATGATATATTAGGATTACTATTAAATTGATTAAAGCAGATATTTTAGAATCCTCATTTGCAATAGGAGTTAGATTGTATCCTACTGGTACATTGGGCCTGCTGCCTGGTTTATATGGCGGGTCAGCTAAGTTTTTACATTATTATTTTTTTATATACTGCCTCCTTTGTCTGTGTCCATGGGCTATGCATATGTGTTCTTCAGCTAATTCCTTCACATTTCTTAATCCAGTCTTCCTTACCCTCCTCCCCTCTGACATTTGTCAGTCTGTTCTATGTATCCATGCCTTTGATTCTATGTTGTTCATCAGTTTATTTTGTTTGTTAGATCCATATATTAGTGAGATCATATGGTATTTGTCTTTCTCTGGATGGCTTATTTCGCTTAGCATAATCTCCAGGTCCATCCAGGTTGTCTTAAAGGGTAAGAGTTTCTTCTTTTTTATAGCAGCGTAGTTGGTCCATTGTGTAAATGTACCACCTATTTTTAAAATATGTATTTTAAAATATGTTTTTATTGATTTCAGAGAGGATGGAGAGGGAGAGGGATAGAAAATCAATGAAGAGAGAGAATTATTGATCAGCTGTCTCCTACATACCTCCTACTGGGGATGGAGCCTGAAACCCAGGCATGTGTTCTACCGGTAATCAAACCATTACCTCCTGGTTCATTGATCAACACTCAAACACTAAGTCACTGATGGGCACTTGAGCAGTTTTCAGGTCTTAGCCATTGTAAATAATGCTGCTATGAACATAAGGTGCATATATTCTTTCTGACTGGTATTTTGGAATTCTTAGGACATATAATCAGAAGTGGGGTTGTTGGGTAAAAAGGCAGTTCCATATTTTAATTTTTTGAGGAAAATCCACGCTGTTTTCTGCAATGGCTACACCAAACTACATTCTGGTTCTCTTTTTCTCCACATCCTTGTCAGCACTTGTTTGTTACATTACTAAATGGTTGAAAAAAATCAAAAGAATCCTATTTCATGACATCTGAAAATCAGCTTTTAATGTATATAAAAATGTTATTTTAGGTAAAGTTTGTAGGAACTTATTCATTTGCATATCATCTATGATGTTTTTGGACTGCAATATATAGAATCGAGTGATTGTGACAAAGCCTGGCCTACAAAACCTAAATGCTTACTAGCTGGCCTTTTACAGAAAAAGTTTGCCCATCCCTGACTTAAAAGAATAATTTACCAATGCACAGTATATCCCCCAACCATCATGGATAACTGATAAATTACTCTAGTAGGTGGGAGTCCTGACTATAAACAGTAAAAGAGTGAATAATGAAGTGTTTCAAGAAAGTGCAGTCATTAGAATTATGGTAACTTTGAAGGAATATTACTTTAATGAGATTTATAATTAGAATGCAGCTTTGTAAAATAAGGTCAATTATTAGTCAGTGATTATAATTTTCTTTTTTTAGTTAACTATTGTTTAATCCTCAAGATAAACCTTTTTATTTAACCTTATCACTGAAATTCTAAAATTTATCTTAGCACAGTATATCAATGAGAGGAAATCTTTTAACTTATAGTGCCTCTTTGTTATTTTGAGTCCTACCCTAGAGGCCCAGTGCACAAAATTCATGAGGGGGGATCCCTCAGCCCAGCCTGTGCCCTCTCACAGTCTGAGAGCCCTCGGGGGATGTCCCATGGGGAGCAGGTCTAAGTCACACATTCTTAGTGCTGCCACAGAGGCGGAGAGGCTCCTGCCATCGCTGCTGTGCTCGCCTGCCATGAGCCCTGGCGGTGCTCCCTCTGTGGGAGCAAACTGACCACCAGGGGGAAGCTTCTGCATTGAGCATCTGCCTCCTGGTGGTCAGCGTGTGTCAAGCAATCCGTCATTCTGCTATTTGGTCAATTTGTATATTAGCCTTTTATTATATAGGATGGTATAGATGCTGGAAGTGAACTCTTCCTAAAACATACATTTGAAAGCTGTTTGTTTGGCTTTAATAAGAAAGAAGCACTTACCAAATTTAGAATAGACTTTGGAGAAATATCTGATTATTTGAAAGCTGAGAGCATAAATAAACAACTGACATTCACTTGTAAAAAGCACATAAGATTTGCTTTGTTTGCTATTTCATGCTTACATACATTAGCTCAAGTTCATGTAAGATTCTATTGCCAAGCAAGAGATGAAAATGTTTCTTTCTGGAAAAGTGAGGTAGTCAGATCATCTTGGTATCTCTTCAAGGTTAGTTCAATAACAAAAGCCTCAAATCTCTGACTCTGAGATATATTTTCAGTTTTTGGAGTCCTTCCCACCAAGCTGCATCCCCATTCTATTTGGGGATATTTGTTAAAAAGTAATTTTGGTATTTAAACTAATCAAATGTGAATTCTGTTTTGATAGAAATTGTTAATAAATGTGTGTTATTTTCTCTAGAAGACAGATAATCTCTACATACTTATATAATACCTATAATGTAGATTTCTCTTTTCAAGGTTATACGTTGGGTCTTCAAAGACATTCTCATCATCAGAAAAATCCCTGAGCCCTTTGCAGTGGTGTAGACACGTCTTAGATAATCCGACTCCGGAGATGGAAGCAGCAAGGCGCTCCCTGTGCCATAGACTGGAGCAAGGTAATTGCAAGCCGGTACCTTTTACATTCGCAGACTCACCATTGTCAACTCTGTGTTTTTTTGTTTTGTTTTTTTTTTTTGAATAGATTCTTAAATGGAAAAACCTTGCCCTGAGGTGTGGCTGATGCATGCACTTCACCTCACATGTATTACACATCAGGGGTTCTTAATATAGAACATAGTTAGTTATTAATATAAAACATGTTTAGTTATTAATATAGAACATAGTTAGTTTCGTGCTTATTTTTAGCCAGATTTTTAGCTTGTATCAGTTTGTATTATACAGTAGGGATACATTTTTTTTTTCTTTCTGTTTTCAAATATACTATAAGTAAAACGGGTAAGTTTTAAATTCTCTGGAAATAGTAACAAGGTTGTGTGGCTGAATTCCAAAGTAGAAAACTGAAGATCCATTGGGCGTGAGTACTGGCCATTTTGAGTTCCTTAACTGTTTAGTTGGTTGTATAACTGGAAGTCCTAACCTTCATAAATTTTAAAATAATCTTGTATTATGTATAACATTAGTTAACTTAGATCCCAACACAAGTTTAAATTGAAAAAAAAAAATTAGGACTGTTGTAAAAAAGAAAAATTGCAAAAAAAATGAGTAGTACTCAGCACCTTTGATTAAGTAGACTACTTAATTAAAGCTGTGATTATTTAGGCTTTTGATTGTCTCTTAACTTCTCAGTATCTGATTCGGTATCTAGGAACACTATTTCTATCCCATGGACTACCTGCCTCCAATTGTCAACTTGAATTTGAAAATGCACATTTTTGCCTGATCAGCTTGGCTCAGTGGGTGAGCATCCACCTATGAACCAGGAGATCACAGTTCAGTTCCTGGTCAGGTCACATACTCAGGATGCCAGCTTGATCCCCAGTGTGGAGTGTGCAAGGCTGCCAGTCAATGATCTTCTCTCATCATTGGTGTTTTCTAGTTCTCTTTCCTTCTCCTTTCATCTCTGAAATCAATTTTTAAAAAAGAAAGTGCAGATTCCTGCCTCTTCCAGATTAAACAATCAGTGTAGCTGGGAGTAGGGCCAAGGGAATCGGCATCAACAAGCTCACAAGTGTGGCTCTTATGGGCACTGCAGTTTGAGAACAGTGCCTGCGAAGCTCTTCAGGGATAATGAATGATTATGAAAATATTTGGATGTGATAAGACAACAACATAATATAGGCAACATTTCTTGAGCTCTTAATTCTGTGATAGAACATTAAGTTTTTCATATCCTTTATTTTACTCAGTCCCACCCCACTAAAAGTGGGTACTATCCTCACTTGGGTACTATCCTCACTTTCAGAGGTGAGAAAACTGAAGTTGAGAGAAATTTGGGGGATTATGAGGCCAGAGTGATGCCCTGGGGTCAGAGATAGGAGCCTGGGCATCTGCAAAGACAAAGACTGTCCTTAACCACTATTCTCAACTGTGTTTTTTGTTTGCTTTTTTGGCACAGTCATAAGTAAGTTTCTATATGTTTATGTATTTGGGGAAGATCAAATTTTAAAAGCATGTTTTATTAACATTTTAACTAAAGTGAAATAAGTTACTGAGTAATAAAAAGTTGAAGAGTAGAATAGGAACAAAGGAGTATTGGGGTTAAAATTTTGGCAACAGATGCTTATCTAAGAGAGCACCTCTCTGAGTCTGAAGACTCTAATCTAATCTTGATTCTGTTCCCTTTTACCTGCATGACCCTAAGCAACCATTTAGTTCCTCTGGATTTTTTTCCCTTTCAAGGTTATTTAGCTCATCTACTAAGTTTCTTTATCCTTGATTCAAGGACTTTTTAGATGTACATTTTTTAAATACATGAATGTGTCTTAACTTTATTTAAAATAAAATTTGGAACTAGAGGTCACAGCCTTTTCTGAAAGGGACAGGATAGTAATAGGTTAGGCTTTGTGGCCCCACCACTCTTGCCATCACTACTATTAATAGAAGGCAGCCATAGATGCAGAGATTAATGAACATTGCTGCGTTTCAATAAGTCCTTACCTTCCGATATTGAGATTTGAATTTCATGTGGTTATTTTTTTCATGTGTCACAAAGTAACATTTTTATTTTTTAAACATTAAAAAGTATTAAAACCATTCTTAGCTGTTGGTTATTACAAAAACAGCAGCTTGGATTTGGGCCCTTTAGACTATTTGCATATAGGGTACATTGACATACCTCCCTCCCTCCCTCCCTCCCTCTCTCTCTCTCTCTCTCTCTCTCTCTCTCTTTCTCTCTCTCTCTCTCTCTCTCTCTTTCTCTCTCTCTTTTTCAATAGGGGAAAGGCTTTTGTTAAGTTTGATGTAAATAATCCTGATTGCTGGGGGCTTTTGAGAATTTAGACTAAGTGCCTGATTATCTGATTTTTCCACTCATTGACTAGGGGCTAAAGCAGAATTGTGAGGTCATGGGGAAATGAATTGAAAGCTGGAGTTTTATTCATGGTGTTTTTTATTTAAATTTTATGTAATAGAGATTAAGCAGAGAACTAGCATTTCAAAACCAAAATTAGTCTTGGTAAATTTGTAAATCCTCTTTCACTGTTAGATTAAATGCTTTTGTTCCAAAGATCCATAATCCCAATATGAGGTAAGTAACCCTGTAGACCAGGTAATCATTGGTTGATTTTCTACTTTTGAAATTCATATTTTATAAAGCATTATATCTGTGGTTTAGAAATATTAGTCTTTTGGGTACTTTAAGAAAAATAGCATATTCCCACCCCATCCTCTCATTCCCGTTTTATTACCTAGATATAAGTAACAAAAGTTATTTGGCCCTGGCCAGTGTAGCTCCCTGGTTAGAGCATAAGACTGTGCACTGAAGGATTGAAGGTTCAATGCCTGATCAATGCCTGCCTTTCCTGGGTTGCAAGTATCAGTTGGGGTGGGTGTGGGAGGCAACTAGCTGATATGTGTTTATCTCTCTCTCTCCCCCCCTCTCTCCCCCCCTCTCTCCCCCCCTCTCTCCCCCCCTCTCTCCCCCCCTCTCTCCCCCCCTCTCTCCCCCCCTCTCTCCCCCCCTCTCTCCCCCTCTCTCCCTCTCTTCCTCTCTTTTTCCCTCCCTTCCACTCTTTCTCTGAAATGCAATGAGGAAAAAAAATCTTCCAGTTAGGGACCTAACCGGTTTGGCTCAGTGGATAGAGCTTCGGCCTGTGGACTGAAAGGTCACAGGTTCCATACTGTTCCAGGGCATGTACCTTGGTTGCAGGCACATCCGCAGTAGGGGGTCTGCAGAAGGCAGCTGATTGATGTTTCTAACTCTATCCCTTTCCCTTCCTCTTTGTAAAACAATCAATAAAATATATATATATTTTAAAAATCTAAGAGGGTTAAAAAAAAAAACTATTTGTTTTTACTTGGTTGTTTGCCTCTATTTATAAATTCCATGCCTATATGGCTATTGTTTGAATGTTTGAATTATAAGTTTTAAACATTATCCATTGGCTTTTTACTTTGGGTGGTAAAGGTTTAAGTTTGTTTTGTTTTTTTTTTTAAAACAATTCCTCCTTCCTTATATGGTTCTTTTTTTTTTTTTTCTTTTTTTTTTTTAATGTATCTGTAGTGAACCCTTTTACCACCTGAGTGGTTCAGGGTTTAGGTTCAGGGTTCGGGCTTTGGTGGAGGCTGCATGCAAATGAGAGACTAGGAAATATTAATTTGGAAATATTGGAGGCCAGGCGGGAGCCCAACTCAAGGGGAAGGACTCCCCCCTGCTCTGGCCTTGCTATCCCTTTTTTATTAAGACTATGGGATACATCATAGCCTTTAACCAAGCAATTCAGTAATAGCCAATCAGCAGGGATTTACACAAAACAAGGTAGAAGTTGCTGTAGCTACCATTGTCTCAACTGATCAGTGGGTGGTTGGTTGGCTCTGACCTTTCAGAGCTTCAAGGTTGACCAGTCTTCCGGATTCCTTGTCCACACCTCTCTGCTAGTGAAGGCAATGGGTGGCTTCTAACACATATCCTCCCACTCCCCCAAAAAGCAACAGGAGAATATATTTTACTAAAATAGAATATAAGGAAAAGGAATTCTCTCCAGCAAGGAGACAGGTGATACGGCACTGAGAGGGAAGAAGGAAGGCCCACCGTGACAGCTGTGCAGAGGGCCAGAGAGCCAGTTCAGTCTGAGGAAGAGAACACAGGACAATTTTACTAATTTTAGGATGCATCAATTGATTATGACAGAAATAGTCACATCTAAGCCACATAGTATTTTATCATTGTCTTTCTTTTCTCATCTAACTTTCTGTTTTTCCTAGAGTTAATTGTAAAAGGACACTTACTTGATTTTTTTGGTCTTTGTCATTAATTTATCCTCAGATTCTCTAAATGAGCCATCCTTTGTACAGTTGGACATATATAGCCAAATTGTGTGTGTGTGTGTGTGTGTGTGTGTGTGTGTGTGTGTGTGTTTTAACTATCCCTCCTGGTAGTGTCCTGTGCTCTCTTCCTCCAGACTGAACTGGCTCTCTGGCCTACTGTACAGCTGTCACAGTGGGCCTTCCTTCTTCCCTCTTCAGTGCTGTATCACCTGTCTCCCTGCTGGAGAGAATTCCTCTTCTTTGTATTCCATTTTAGTAAAATATATTCTCCGGTTGCTTTTTGGGGGAGTGGGAGAGAATAGAGGATCCATGGGAGAAACTCATGTCTGGAAGTGCCTTGGTTGTACCCTCACTCTTACACTTGATCGGTTTTTGGACTTGGTATGGAATTCTATGATTTCTCAGTATAGAAACCCTTTCCAAAAGAGTTTAGAAGGCATTATCCCATTATATTTTAGCTTCAGGTTTGCTTCTGAAGTCCTATTCTTTTCTAGTTTCTGATTCTTGTGACCTTTCTATTTAAAATACCCCAGGTATTTTAGAATATTTTCTTCCTGGCATTTTGGAATTTCATTTTTTTGTGCTGGATATTCAGTGTGTAATTCAACCTGGAAACTTAAGTTTGACAAAATTTTAAGCATCACTTCTTTATAATCCCCTCCCCTCCAGT